GGCCCGGGCGGGCACTGGCCCGGGCGGGCACTGGCCTGGGTGGGCACTGGCCTGGCTGGGCACTGGCCCGGGCGGGCACTGCCCCGAGTGGGCACTGGCCCGGGTGGGCACTGGCCTGGCTGGGCACTGGCCCGGGCGGGCACTGCCCCGAGTGGGCACTGGCCGGGTGGGCACTGGCCCGGGTGAGCACTGGCCCGGGTGGGCACTGACCCGGGCGGGCACTGGCCCGGGTGAGCACTGACCCGGGTGGGCACTGGCCCGGGTGGGCACTGGCCCGGGTGAGCAATGGCCCGGGTGGGCATTCACCCGGGCGGGCACTGGCCCGGGTGGGCACTGGCCCGGGTGGGCACTGGCCCGGGTAGGCACTGGCCCAGGTGGGCATTCACCCGGGCGGGCACTGGCCCGGGTGGGCACTGGCCCGGGTGAGCACTGACCCGGGTGGGCACTGGCCCGGGTGGGCACTGACCCGGGTGGGCACTGGCCCGGGTGGGCACTGGCCCGGGTGCGCACTCACCCAGGTGGGCACTGGCCCGGGTGGGCACTGCCCCGGGGCCGTGAGGATGCCAGGGACGTCCCTCCTGGTGGAGCCAGGATGTCCCCGCTCCGGGGACACCCACCAGGAGCCTGGCCAGGGTGACACGGGACCAAAACGGCAATTTCAGCTTCGAGCTGGTTTATGTTCCTAGCCCCGCCGGGGCTCCTGTGCCCTCACTGCCACCGCAGCTTCCAGAGGGGCTGGAGCAGGGAGCAGCATCCTTTGGGGCCGTGTCCCTGCCCGAGGCACCCTGCAGGACCCTTTGGGGCCGTGTCCCTGCCCGAGCCACCCTGCAGGACCCTTTGGGGCCGTGTCCTGCCCGAGGCACCCTGCAGGGCCCTTTGGGGCCGTGTCCTGCCCGAGCCACCCTGCTGCCCCTGCTGGTGTGGCCCTGCTGTCCTCTCAGCCTCTCCACAGCATCCCAGCAGGTCCAGGCACTGTTTTCCCTTCATCCTCCCTCTCTCCTGGCACAGGATCTGGTGGTCACAGCTGCTGGAATGTCTCTGGAGCAGTCGGCATTGCCAGCAAAGCACCGGTGCCACCCCCTTGGGATCCCCACAGCAGCATCCCTGGGGGCACAGCCTTCCAAACATTCTCCTTGCTGCCAAAGCAACCCCCACCATCCCTCCCAGCTGTGGGAATATCATCCCTCAGGGACCAGCAGCTCCAAAGGGATCCCAGCCCACTCAGGATTTTGGTGCTTTGGAAGTACCCCCAGCAAAAAGGAAAATCACTCATCTGGGTGCTTTGGCTGAACGCTGCCATGAAGAGAGAGCAGACAGAAAGTCTCTGCCAGGGTGTGTTTTATAAGGTGAGAGCACTCTGGGATATTTTTTCTCGGGGTGTTGGGAGACCCACAACCCAAACAAGTCAGGGAAGTTATGTCCTTTCCCCCAAAGCAACTGGCACGAAGGTAAAAAATCCATGGCTGGGAACAGGCAGCAGCCCCAGCCACAGCCAAGTTAAACAACAGCAAGGTCAGTGTGCAGATGGAGCAGCCAATAACTGTGAGGAGGAGGAAATCGGTGCCACAGCCAGAGTTCAGGCACCTACAACCCCTCGGAGACCTGGAGCCTCCTCCCAGCTCTGCCCCAGAGCAGCAGCGTGACGGCAAACATGTCCCTTGGTGTCCCTTGGTGTCCCTTGGTGTCCCTTGGTGTCCCTTGGTGTTCCTCGATGTTCCTCGATGTTCCTCGGTGTCCCTCAGTGTCCCTTGGTGTCCCTCACTGTCCCTCGGTGTCCCTCGGTGTCCCTCAGTGTCCCTTGGTGTTCCTCAATGTCCCTCGGTGTCCCTCGGTGTCCCTCGGTGTCCCTCGGTGTCTCTTGGTGTTCCTCGATGTCCCTTGGTGTCCCTTGGTGTCCCTCGGTGTCTCTTGGTGTCCCTTGGTGTCCCTCACTGTCCCTCGGTGTTCCTCGGTGTCCCTCAGTGTCCCTCACTGTCCCTTGGTGTTCCTCGGTGTCCCTCAGTGTCCCTCACTGTCCCTTGGTGTCCCTCGGTGTCCCTTGGTGTTCCTCAATGTCCCCTGGTGTCCCTCGGTGTTTCTTGGTGTCCCTCGGTGTCCCTTGGTGTCCCTCACTGTCCCTCACTGTCCCTCGATGTCCCTTGGTGTCCCTTGGTGTCCCTCGGTGTCCCTCGGTGTCCCTCACTGTCCCTTGGTGTCCCTTGGTGTTCCTCAATGTCCCCTGGTGTCCCTCGGTGTCCCTTGGTGTTCCTCGATGTCCCTCGGTGTCCCTTGGTGTCCCTCGGTGTCCCTCGGTGTCCCTTGGTGTCCCTCGATGTCCCTCGGTGTCCCTCGGTGTCCTTCACTGTCCCTCGGTGTCCCTGCAGCTCTGCCCGTCCCTCTGTCCCCTCCCTGCGCTCCCTGGGCCGTGTCTCAGTTCGTTCGTTGGGGAAGGGGCTGGAGGAGCCCCAGCCCCTCTGCCAGGAGCTCCAAACCCCCCTTAGGAAAGGACATTTCCATCCCCAGAATCCTTCCACCCTCCCCGTGCAGGAGCCCCTGGCCTGGTGCCGCTCATGCCCCGCTGTGCCCGTCCTGTCCTGAGCTCCTCTGGAGGGACACCCGAAGTGTCCCTGCCCTGTGCAGATTCCCCGACAGTCCCCACCAGCCCTGCCGGAGCCAAATCCCCGCGAGCCTCGCTGGGTTTTGCGGGCATGGTCTCCTCGGAGAGCGGCGTTCTGTGCTTCCCTCGCATCCTCGGGAGCCGCAGCGGGGCTCGGGATGGAAGCCGAGATTCCCGGTGCTCTGGAGCCGGGAGAGAGCGAGGGAAGGGGAGCACAGCCCCGCCTGAGCCTGGCGCTTCACACTCGCCCTCTCCGCTCTCCGAGCGGCCCGAGCTGAAACGAGCTCGGTTTAAACGAGTTTAAAGCGAAGCTGCTCCTCTCCCTCCATCCCTGCGCGCACACCTGGCCGCGTTGGGTGGCTTTGACACCTCGGACACGCCGGGGCGTTTTCTGGAGACTTGAAGGTCTCCTGCTGGTGACACAGCTGGAGGGATGGAGGGCCAGCACGTCCCAAACCCGCTTCCCCAGGAGAGCCCCCGTGGGATAACTGGTTGTGCAAGAGGCACGATAACATCTCCACGGCTCGCAGCGAGCTCTCCCCGCTTTTGGGGGGAGCTGCGGTGTTGCAATCCAGGCTGAGGGTTAAGAGCCGGAGTTTTGGAAACTCATCCCCGCGAGGAGAGCGGCGGAGAGGCGGCGGCGCGTCCCGCAGGCACCCAGGAGGGGCAGGAGCAGCCTGGAGCTGCTCCAGGGGCTGACGCAGCCGCTGCTGTGTTCTGGCCCCAAATGGTGATTGTTTCCCAGCAAAGTCGGGCTAAAAACACAACAAAATCAAACACAGCCCTCAAAGGTTACCATGTGTTATTTTCACCCCTGCGCCTCAGGACTTTCCGGCACTAACGTGAGCCAGGGCGGCTCCTTTGCTTCCTTTTACCTGAGACACCAAAAAAGAAACCAAAAAAAAAAACCAAAAGGGAGAGGGCAGAAATCAGAAATCCCAAATCTCCCCGGCAATGGGAAGCGCTTTCAAGGGGAAGCTGTTTTCGGCAAGCCAGCCACGTCCCAAAAATTACAACCGGTCTCGGCAATTAGGAGAAGTAAAACATTAAAGAGCAGGAGGCAAAGTGCATTTGCATCTAAAAGCTGCCTTCGGTGGGGCTGGGAGGCTCAATCCGACAACAAAGCGGAAAAATTCCCTCTCCAAGAATAGTTCCACCCTGCTGGCACATGCCCCTGTCCCTCTGTGCACCCCAAAAGCTGTGGGGTGCAGATCTAGGACCGGCTGGGTCCCTAAAGCTGACAAGCGGGAAGGGTTAAGCCATGCTCAGCCATCCCCATCCCTGCACAGCCCCGGGGGCACCGGGACATTTTCCATGAAGGTTTTGCTGGAAAGTGGTTTTTTTAAATCCTTCCCATTTCCCCCTTTTTTTTTTTTTTTTTTTTTTTTTTTTTTCTGCTGCTGCAAAAACAGGTTTGGGTTTAACTCCGGGGCCGCAGGTGGGTGAGTTACCTGAAGGCCGGGAGGAGGAAACTCCCACATCCGCTCCCGGAGCGCCAGCTCTGCGCTGGCCAAGGAGGGAGGGGAGCGGGGCAGGCTCCCGGGGTAGGGTTTCACCTGCAAACACAGCTTTGTGCTCAAAAACAGGAGCTGCGGGAGGCTCCGAGCCAAAACCGGGGAGAGGCAAACGGAAAATCCCAGGCAGGGATTTCTGAAGCCCTCCCCAGGAGCTGGGACAGAGCAGAGGACTCTGAGCTCCTCCTCCTCCTCTCCTTCCTCCCCCCAAACGCTGCAGGGTCACCCCCAGGTTGGACTGGGAACCCCAGCAGCACTGCAGGGAGGAGGGAAAAACGCTGGAAAACCCACAGGGATGGAGCCCAGCACGGGAGTTTGGGGGCAAAAACGCCCCTCAGAGACCTCCCAGAGCACCCTGGGCTTGGGGAGAGTCTGAGAGCAAGAGGGGATGTAAAAATAAAAGGGGGTGCAAAAGCAAGAGGGGATGTAAAAATAAGTGGGGGTATAAAAACGGGATATAAAAATAAGTGGAGCTATAAAAATAAGGGACACATCCTCTCAAATCCTCCCCAGTTTCTGTGGAAAGGCTTTCAAAGGACAGAGGGTGGAGGAGAAAAGGAGCTTTTTGTGCTGGAGAAGGTGACCTGGTGCAGGACAGTGGCCCTGGACCTCCAGGCCCTGGCTCTGGGCTAGTGCAGAGCAGCCCAGGTGAATTCATGGAATCCCCAAAGGGCTCAGAGGTTGCCCAAAGGGATCCAGTCTCAGCTTTCACAGCACAAGAAGCACAGGATTCGTCTTTAAGTCACAGCTGGTGCCACCAAGTTTCCCTCCAGGACACTGCTCCCCTCCCCAGCCCCAGGAACAGGACCACACAAACCCCAACCACCATCCCCAGACTGGGGCAACTCTTCAAATGGCCCGTTCAGAAACTCTCAGCACAGAGATTCCTCCTCATTTCTGGTTTATCACCTTGATTTCAGCTCTGAAATCCTTTTCTGTTGGAGAAGGGGTGGACAGGAGCAGGCTGGGGATGAAGAGGGCAGGCAGCTCTCGAAAAATCGAGCTGGAAAACAAATAAACAACATCCCTACAACTTAAATTAAGCAATGTATAACATGATAAAACAGATTTTTATCAAGCAAGGGCTTTTCTGGACTCAGTGCCAGAGAAGGGATTTCCTAGAGCAAAGCTCATTAGGAATCCTCCCCAGCCCAGCACCTTTCCCCTCAACAACAATAAAAACCCCAAAAAAGCAGGGCACGCCCTTTTGAAGGCTGTTTCCTTCCATGCCCTGGAATGCTCTGCCAGGGTCCCTGGAGGCAGCCTGGCCTGTCCCAGCACCTCGGGGACATCTGCAGGCCCTGCCAAGCCGCAGGGCTGGGAAATCCAGGCCACCCCAAAGAGAGCTCCAAGAGCCCGGCATGGAACAGCGGGGCAGGGACGGGGCTTCTGGCCAGGGAGCACGAAGGAGAGGGGCTGGGGGGTTTAGGTGGCTCTTGTGTGCTCTTGAGGGGATTTCCGGTTGATTTTTCCTTTTTTCCCCTCCCCAGCGTTTGTTCCCTACAAGCCCCATCCCAAGCTGGAGTGTCCCTGAGCCCCAGGGAGGAGGAGAAGGGAACTGGGCTGGATCCAGCGTGGCTGATGCTGGGGTTTGTCCCTGCAGGGACACAGAGAGCTTGTCCTGCTCCCTGGGCTCGGGTCTGGCCCTGGAGCAGATCCCACCGTGGAGCCACATCCCAGAGCTGGGCACCCCCAGAGGGGGTGGGATGGGCACGGAATCACCAGAGAGGTGATGGAGCCACAAAGCCTCGTCCACCCCAG